GCTGGCATGTGGTGCTGGGGGATTGAACCGCGGTCCCTTTGCTTTGCTAAGCTTGTTCTAAGTAGGTGCTTTAGACCACTGAGCCATCTCACCAGCCCTCAATAATATATTAACCTCTATGAATTTGCATGCTTAAATACATACAAGAGTTTAAGTAACCCCATGTTGTACGGGGTCGTAGCAGAATAAAGCTCAAAATCAACAGCAGAAGAAGCCACAGAAATGACACAAACATCATCTTCTTTGGAGATCTGGATGCCAGACCCCGGGAGCATATGTTTCTGTTTTTGTTGGTGGCACATATTTTTCACACTGTTGCTACACCATAAAGATTTGTTTTGATTTTATGGGATTTCCTAGCTTTTAAAGTAAAAGCCAGTTAAATTCCCTTGAAATGTTCTTGTGAAAATCAAGTTCAGCTGGGCAGGCTCCTTCTGGTCCCCAGGCCCTCACACCAAAGCTCCGTTAGTCCAGTGAGAGAAGGGGCAGCCTCACTTCAGTGCATGCACCCTGCTCCTTCCTGCCTGGGGAGGTGGCAGCAGCGGTGGGGCCTCTGGAGAGGGGACCGGTCACTTTCTATCTCCCAGGACTCTTGCCTTTCCCTGGGTCAGAGCACAGGGAGAGTGTATGTGGGCTGCTCGCCGGGCAGGTGCAGGAGGACCCGGCCTGCTTTTGCCATCCTCATAGTGACCATTGCAGAAGGACTCGCTAGGAATAATGTCTGGTCCAGGGATGGTGTCCTGGTGACAGTGCCAACATCACCAGGAGCTGCACAGGGCAAGACCTTGCTCGGCACCACCTGCTGACTTGCCACCCCGCAGAGCCACTCTGCCCCTGAAGCCTTTTTTCTTATTCTCACCAGCTTATAGAAAGGATCGCCCAGGTCACCGAGGACAACATCAGGTTTCAGAAGAACAAGTGGAGCCTGGAGCAGAAGACCCAGCTGAGCCACTCCAGGCGGGAGGAGACCACAGAGAGCATGGAGAGGCTGAGGACTGCTCTGGACAGCTGCCAGGTGCCCACCTGCCCCGCGCTCTAGGCGGCCGCCCTTTGTCTCACTCTGGGCTTCTAACTCAGGAAGCTGATTGGCTGCCTGGAGCAGGCTGGGCAGCAAGAAGTCCTTCGCTTTTCTTCCCTCCTTTTCTCGTGTTGGAGAACAGAAAAGCAGGGGCCTCAAAAAATGCCTCCCAAAAGCTGTGGTGGCACACACCTATAATCCCAGCACTCGGGAGGCTGAAGCAGTAGGATCACTGTAAGTTTGAGGCCAGCCTGACTGCATAGTAAGACCCCCATCTGAAAGAGACTAAAAAAAGGGCTGGGGAGATAGCTCAGTAGAATAAGCACTTCCCTGGAAAGCACAAGGGCCTGAGTTCAATCCCAAATTCCAGGGGAAAAAAGTCTCCCAAGTGAAGTCAGTGTGGCCAGGCTGGAGCTTTGCCTCCAACCTCGAATCAAAAATATTTGGGGGCGAAATTTTCAACAGTACTAAACAGCTTTTACTCCTTTGTCGTTATTCCCTGAAAACTGCAGGATAACATCCACTGTATATACCATTTTCATTGCATTTAGTACTACAGGTCATCTAGAGATGATTAAAGCATACAGTGGAATGCATATAAGATATGCAAATGCTATTCCATTATATGCAAATATGGTTCCATTGTATGCAAATATGGTTCCATTGTATGCAAATATGATTCTATTTTTATAGAAGGGACCTGGTCACCCTCTGGTTCTGATGAACCACTCCCACCCTCATGCACATGAAGGAGTGATGTACTGACTTTAGCAAGTCCCCAAGCCTGGCGGGGGAAACTTTCCTGCTATTGCCAGAAAAGCAAAAGAAATGTTCCTGCTCATTATTTGCATTTCCTTTTGGGCATAACAACAAAAGCTGTTTCCACTCATGCGTGCCTTTACCTGAGGAGGAGCCAGGCCCATGGGGCCCAAAGTGCACCCCACACCCATCCAGAGGTCATCAGAACCAGAAGCTGCTTCTGGTCTCCCTTGAAATCAGCAGCTACCATTTAGGGAGTTGTGCGAACACTAGACTTGTCAGCACTCTTTCCAAAAACTCCGGAAGCCGCACTCTGACCAGCTTGCGGGTCGATCTCAGCAGGATTTCTGATGACTGGAAGGAGCCGAGTTTGGGTCTCATTTCAGCCAAGTCGTGGATGGTGTTAGGTTTTTGAGTGCAGTAAAGAGCCAGGAAAAAAATAAAAGAGGTCTTTATTGACACTGAAGATACGGAGAGAATCCCAGGGAGGAGATGGGTCCTCTGACCTGAGACAAAGGAAAACTGAGACTTGGTAGACTTTTGCTAGGGGTGGCATTTGAGGAGCAGGTTCAGTGACACATGAGAAGCTGACTGGGTTCTCCCTTGTGATTGTGTGGGAAAGATACGCAGGACCAGGGTGGGGAAGACGGAGGAAGCAGTCATTGGGAAGATCCGCTGTTGATTTTGGGGATTCAGCCATGTTGAATCAGGGCCATGATAATTTAGTAGTTTGTACTCTAGTTGAAATCATAGGTTCTGGCCCTAGGATGAATTGCTAAATTATTATGGTGGTCATCTAACATGGCTGAAGCAAAAAAAAAAAACAATAACAGCTGATCTTCCCAATGACCACTTCCTCCATCTTCCCCACCCCAGTCCTGGATGCCTTTCCCATGCACACAGGGGAGACCCCAGTCAGCTCCTTGCATGAAACTAAAACTATAAGGCTGCCCCCGACCTAAAAATCTAAAAAAAAAACAAAAACAAAAACAAAAAAAAAACTGGGCCATCACAGGGCAGCCGGTGCATGGCACTGCCTGCTCTGCAGAAGAGTCAAGGAAGGACCCTGGTCCTGACAATTCGAGCCAGGTGCTATTTCAGGCCAGAGTCTTGAGATGTTCCTGACTTTATCTGTCTTCAGGACTGCATGAAAATGTCCTGCCGAAGCAGGGACCTGAGGACGGAGGTGGACCTTCTGCGGGGCCTTGAGCTGAGCCCACCTGTGTCCAGGCTCCAGAAGGCGACGCTGGACATACTGAGCCTGTCACTGTCCTGGCTGGAGGGAGTGGAGCAGCTCCTCGGGGACCTCGGCCTCCAGCTCTCTGGCTCTGACAAAGGTTACTGCGCCTCTTTTTCTCACATGGTTGCATGACTCTAAAATGTCACGATGAATCTTCCCGTGACAGGGCATCTGCTGAGGTGGGGATGTGGCCAACTGTTCCCTTCTGATTCACTTGGCTTAGGAAGTGGTTTTCCTTTAAAACAAAAATACCCATAGCTAGGCATGGGGGTGCA